GCTGGATTTTATTCAGTGATGCTGAGATAAGTTTTGTGTGTGGGTGGTTTTCTCTTGTTGCGTGTAGATATGTTAAATAGCACTCGTAGATTGTAAAATGTAGCAAGTATATCATAGTTTTGCCTTGACCTGGCATAATGATCAACAGTGGTAAAAATGTAAGATGTGTGTTTTTCTTTGCATCGGATTAAATTTATCAGCTCATTGCAAGAGAGATGCGTGATCTAAACATCAGAAAATACAAAAAAAAGTGCAATACTATGAGCTCCCATGAGGGGGAGTTAAGAATTTCTATTGTAATGTATGATTACATTTCAATTCTAATTTAACTGTCTTAAAGGTATAGTTCAGCCAAAAATGGACATTCTGTCATCATCTAAGTCGCAATTCACTTGTTTCAAACCCTGTTGGAGTTTCCTGCTTCTGTTGAACAATAAATAATATATTTGAAGAAAGCTGGACACCTGTAAGCATTGACCTTCACTGTATTTGTTTTTTCCTACTATGAAAGTCATGGTTACAGATTTCTAGCTTCCTTTAAAATGTATTTTTTAGGGTTCAACTGTGTTGGATAAGTTTAAAAAGTAATAGATTATTACTGATTATTACGGGAAAATTGTAATCTGGTTACATTACTAATTACTTAATGTAAAAAGTAATTAGATTACTAATTACTTTACTTTGAAGTTTTAAAGCGTACGAAATATACCTATAAAGATACAAAATATACTGCAGCTCTTTCAGTAATTTATTATTCACTGAAAAACATTACGGGGCAGCACGGTGGTGCAGTTGGTAGCAAAATTGCTCACAGCAAGAAGGTTGCTGGTTCGAGTCCCAGCTGGGTCATTTGGCAGTTCGTATAGCTTGCATGTTCTCCCCGCGTTCGCGTGGGTTACCTCCGGGTGATCCGGTTTCCCCCACAAGTCCAAAGACATGCTGTACAGGTGAATTGGGTAGGCTAAATTATCTGTAGTGTATGCGTGTGAATGAGTGTGTGTGTGTGGATGATTTCCAGGGATGGTTGCAGGTGGCATAGCATCCGCTGCGTAAAACATATGCTGGATAAGTTGGCTGTTCATTCCACTGTGCTGACCCCAGATTAATAAAGGGACTAGGCCGAAAAGAAAATTAATGAATGAATGAAAAATATTGTTGATCATAGCAGTTTGACATCTTCAAAAGACTTAAAGAGATAGTTCACCCCAAAAATTGTCTCATCATTCACTTGTTCCAAACTTGTTTGTGCTTGTTGAACACAAAAGAAGACATTTAGAAGAAAATTGGATACCAGTAACCATTGACATTCATAGTATGAAAAAGCACTGCAGTCTTTGGGTGTTCAGTGTTTGTCTGAGGTAATTATATGGAAATGTGTATATTCCAAAGTATGAAGCTGATCAGTCAGTTCTTGTCATGTGACTTGTGATTTTCAATTGGGTTCTACTGGGAAATGTGTGCAGTATGCAATCCCATAAAAATGCAATATGTGAATGGCCCCAAAAGCAGCTATGAAGCATTTAGAAGATCACTCCTGATTCTGCACAAAAAATATATATATATTTAGCCTGTTTAGGCTGAGTTGGGACGCGGTGTTTCTGGGTGCCGGTGTCCTCCTTGGTGACGAGTATTTTCATCGAATGTTTTTTATTCAAGTGCTCAAACAAGTTGCTGGTCAATTAAAAGCAGTCGTAAGTTTTTTAGAAACTGGACATTTCATAGCAATATTTAGTTTTTTACGCTCAATGAAATCAAAGTAATGTAACGTTTCCACTTGAAGAAGCAGCCACTCTCAACAATGACCATTACGTTTTCCAGCTATTTAAAAGCGCATGCTCAATTACTGACGTTGCCATGGGAAAATGTGATTAAAAGAAGCATTTTCTTTCCTTCAAAAACTATATTTGTAACGTAAGTAACACAATTACATTGACTTTAGTAAATTAAATCTAATTACACAAATTAAAAGTGTAATTCGTGACATTACTGCGTTCTTCAAATAATTAGCAAACATTAACGCGTTACTGTGTGACGCGTTACACCCAACCCTGGTGTTCAACAGAATAAATAAATAAACTTATAAAGGTTTGGAACCACTTGAGGGTGAATAAACTGTGTGTAAATGTTCATTTATTTGAGTGAATTATATCCATGATTTTCCTGATACCTGTTTCCTCACAGTTTTTTTAGACTTTTCTATATTATACCAACATATCTGTATATAAATATTACAATATACAGTATAGATATTGCAGTAATGTTAAATTGTAAAAAAATATGGTGTTTTATATTATTGACTGTATGTTAAAGATGCTGATTATGAAAATTCTAAATGATAGCATAGTTTTTTAATCTATTACTTAAGTATTTGTTGCATCGTGAAAGCTTTTTTGCATTTTTTTTTACGTTTATTATTATTGTGAATTAAGATGAATGGTGTATTGATAGAATTTGATAATGACTTTTAAAGAGCTTTGAAAGTTCAAATTATAAAATAGTACACTGCTGTTCAAAAGGTTAGGAAAACTATATTTTGAAATGTTATTATGGCACAAGCAAGATTACTAAAATATTTTGTGCCTCGTGATATTTCAGAACTGTTTATAATATGCTGAATTGTCTCACATTTTAAGCAAATGTCAAGTTCCCTGACTTCCCTCGACTTTCACTGGCTAAAAAGCTGAATTTCCATGGCCTATAATAAAATAAATAACAAGATGCTGTTGTGTTTCACATATCATCAAAATTAGTTTGAGTCTGAATATAATTTTTCCTTTAATGGCCATCATGAGTGTAACAATTATCATTCATTGAATTAATTTATTCCTTTATTTTCCTTTGGCTTAGTGCCTTATTTATAAGGGGTTGCCTTAGTTAGTGGGATAAACCGCCAACTATTCCAGCATGCCCATAGCCAGGGGTGGTTCGGGTGGTTCGAACGAACCTCCCCCAATAGCCAAAAGGTCCAGAATTTGTCCTTTTAATTGTTTTTATGTAATTTAATATTATATATATATATATATATATATATATATATATATATATATATTCAATGTATATTATAAATAAAGTGTCATTTTAAATAACTCTGGCCAGAAAAAGCAGGCAATGGCATCATTATCGCAAAATATTGAACATATGTTCAAAAAGACTGCCAAATTATGATATAAGATATAATAAATTTGTATTTTAAAAATTTGTCTTGTTTTAAATTTTTTATTGCTATTTTTTAGGAAATATTTTTAATACATCAAAAAGTGTGGATATGATGACATCTGACTAGCTAATCCAGCAAAAATCCAGTATTTAAATAGCTAAATAGAAACTGAGGCTTATAATTGCTAAAAGGTCCACTTTTTGAGAAAAAAAGAACCACCCCTTTCACCAGGCTGACTACGGGCCTGTCCAGCATATGTTTTACGCAGCATATGCCCTTCCAGACGCAACCCAGAACTGGGAAACACCCATACACTCTAACATTCACACACACACACACACACACTCATGCACTCAGTTTACCCAATTCACCTATTAACTTTGGACTCTGGGGGAAACATGCAAACTCCACACAGAAATGCCCAGCCGGGACTCAAACCAGTGATCTTCATGCTGTAAGGTGGCAGTGTTAAACACTGAGCCACTGTGTCGTCATTATTCATTTCAGATTTTGTAAATAAATAAAAATTTATAAAACAGCACAAAGCCTAAAAGTGGCCATTTTGTAGCCAACGCTTTTGAAATTTCCTGGCATGTTTGCTAAAGTTAACAAGTCCAGCCATTTGACTTAAGTGGATGTCAGTTGACAAGTGGAGAAAGGAAATAAATGTTACTAAATCGGTTCCCAACCATGACAATATAGGCAAATTGTGTAAAACAATGCAATAAAAACATAATAATAGAGCAATTATCAGATTATAATCAAAATGCAGATTTTGATGGATGGAAACTAAAATGTAAATTGACAAGCAAAAGCAGCTGATATTTGATATTCTATTACATGAAAATCCACAGACTTTCAATTTCTGGAATAGACCTTTTAAAATATCATTTAATTTCTTATGATGTTTCTTATTAACAACAGTGATACCCATTGTTGTGCCTGAAGATCAATATTTAATTAAAACCTAGATGGTTTGTAACATTTTAAATGTAACTTTTGATCAATTTAATGCATCCTTGTTTTACAAATTCATTCACATTATCATCATTGGTGGTTAAAATTACCACTCATATTTTTGTTTACACTCTAAAAATGCGAATTAGTCTAAACCAATTCTGATTGTATTAGGGACTAGCCCAACGCCTGGTTTACTTTTTTTATTAAATTATTATTGGACAAAATATAACCCAATGTGTACGTTAGTCTATATTTTACCCAAGTTTAAATATCCTGCCATTTTCTGAAGTGTATTGTTGAAAACAAGCCAAAATAATATTTTATTAAATTAGGTTTAGTGTTTAGTGCAGGGGTCACCAATCTCAGTCCTGGAGGGCCGGTGTCCCTGCAGGGTTTAGCTCCAACTTGCCTCAACACACCTGGATGTTTCAAGCATACCTAGTAAGACCTTGATTAGCTTGTTCAGGTGTGTTTGATTAGGGTTGGAGATAAAATCTTTAGGACACCGGCCCTCCAGGAACAAGTTTGGTGACCACTGGTTTAGTGTATTTTAAACAAAAATGTATTCGTTATTATTTTATCGTTTTTTATTTGCTTTTTTCATTCTTTCTTTTCTTTTTTCTTTTCTTTATTATTATTATTATTATTATTATTATTATTATTATTATTATTATTATTATTATTAGTGATCAAAACCAGACAGTTGTGTATTTGAAACACTGGACATCTGGCGCTGCTCCGTCTGTGATATTATTGTATTCCCACATAGGACACGAATAGTCTCCTCAGATGTGCTTGCCATGGCCATTCATACAGTAATACAGTTCTTAAAGCAACACAGCACGTCATCTACATAATTCTTTAATCAAGCGCTCATCCGCGGGCGCGCGCACGAACTGCTCTGCTTGTTGAGTGTTTACGGTAGACGCGCCTCTTCTCCTGACTCAAACTAGTAGTTTATCACTCATCTCATCAGCGTGGGCAGACATCTCTCTCTCTCATATTTCCTCAGTCGACTCTGTGGTCCACCTCACATAGTATGGGCTTTGACTTAGACCGTTTTGAGGGTCCTGTAGACCCGGACTTGATCTGTAAACTGTGCGGAAAAGTTTTGGAGGATCCTCTCGCCACTCCGTGCGGACATGTCTTCTGCGCCGCGTGCGCGCTCCAGTGGCTCTCCAAAGTCAACAGCTGTCCCGTCCAATGCCAGAAGATATCCAACAAAGAGCTGAACCAAGTCCTACCCCTCAAAAACCTCATTCTCAAACTGGACATCAAATGCGACCACCGCGAGCGAGGCTGCGCCCGGGTGATGAAGCTCCAGCATCTGGCGGAGCACGCGGAGATGTGCGACTTCTCTCCGGTCAGATGCAGGAATGAAGGATGCGACGCGGTGCTCAACCTGAAGGACGCGGCCTCACACCTGCAGGAGACGTGCGAGTACAGGGCGCTGGAGGTCTGTAAGAATGGATGTGGGCTTATGCTGACCCCCAAGGAAATGTCGGGGGAGCACAGCTGTCTCCAGGCTCTTAAAGCGCACGGCGGTCTCCTCCAGACCAAAGCGCAGAGTCTGGAGAAAGAGCTGAAGCGGCAGGCGCTGAGCTTCAGCAAGAGGGAAAGGTCTCTTCTGTCCAAACTCTCCGCGCTCCACTGCGAGCTGCACATCACCGCGCTTACCTTCCAGAAGAAAATCACCGAGTACAAGAGCAGGATTGACGCTCTGACCAACAGTTGGATGCCCCGAGATCAGGTCAGTGTATCATGAAGAGGTGCGAGTGGAGGGAACGCTGAAAAAGTCAAGCGTTCTTTTAAGTTAACATTTGTAAGACAAATTAAAGTGGCGTCCTTTCTGTGAAGCTCATTAATTGTTCACTTTGAGTTTAAATACTGGTTGGGAAACTTTGGAAACTTATAAATTCGAGAAGTGCTTAAAGTGTTTTGACAAGATTTGAACAAAAAAAAAAGTTTTGACAACGTAATGAAAATATTTCATTAAAATGGTCAATTTTAATTTGTAAATCTAAACTGTATGTTGGGTTAAGATATCTTTCACTAAAATGAGCTTACTTATTGTTTGTTATGCCATTCTTGCATAGAAATGTACAAAAAATGCTAAATCCATTTCCATAACTAATGCAAATTGTAACAAGTATTTTGTGTAAGTTTAAAAGTGTTTCTGTGGTTACTTATTTACTCACTTCCAAATGTTTCAAATATATATATATAAATATATATATATATTTTTTTTTTTAAATATATATTTATATATATATATATTTTAATATATATTTATTTTCACTATGATTATTTTTAGTAGTAACTTATAAATATTTAAAGACTAACCTGTTGTAAACTCCAAAGTTGTTAATCAGTTGAACTTAAAAAAATATATTTGCTAGATATTTTACAGAATACAGTGACATTTAAAGGCTTAACTATGTTAATTAGGTTACTAGGCAGGTTAGAGTAAGTACGTAAGTTATTGTATAATGCTGATTTGTTCTGTAGACAACTGAAAAAATATATAGCTCAAGGGGGATAATAATTTGGACCTTAAAATGTTTTTTTTTAAACTGCTCTTATTCTAGCCTAAATATAACAAATCAGACTCTATCCAGAAGAAAAAATTATTTTCAGACATACTGTGAAAATTCTCATCACTGGGAAACCCATAGTATACTTTACGTGGTTTATCAAACAATCAAAATTTTGTGATTATTTACCCTATATGTACCGATTTAAATGTAATTTTACTGTCTGTTGTGGAGCAGAATGAAATTTGGAAGAATACTGTCAAAAAATTAATTAAAAAATATAAATAAATAGAATAGAAGTCAATGAGAACAAAAACAGTTTTCAGGGTCTTTTCTGTAAAAGAAGACAGATTTAAAAAAAAAATCTTTGGTGTAATCTTTTTAAGAGCTTTTTAGGATAAACTGCTAAAATGGCCATGATATTAACCGTAAATTGACATTCACAGAATTCCCATAATTACTGTATGTAAAGGTGTCCTTGTTACGCATGTTCCGTGTAATTGCCATAGTAATTACAATTAATTATCCATAATTACAGTACATGTGACTCACCCTAAACCCAACCCACATTCTAACCATAACCATATAGCAAATACATGTAATTTACTAATATTACTCAATAGTTCAATGAATCGTTACACTGTAACAACGACACCTTAAAAAAATAATGACTTTTTGTTCCTTATCACTTATGTCCAATACAGATCTAATGTTGTTAAAATAATCTTTATTGCATTACTTTGAACTTGTGCTTTACCATGACAGTGTTTTGTATCTGTGTAAAAACTGAGCAATTCTCATCACAACCTGCGTATGGTGGTAATTTTGTCTGTGTACGAAACCGATATTAGTACTTCAATACATTGTTTTATTATCACTGTATAAGTTAATGAAATAGTACATTTCAAAGTGTCTCTACCATATTTTTAACTGCAATACCTCTCCATTAACAAGTAAACTGTAAAAGGATTGCTTGTTAATGGAAAGGTACCCTTAGGGGACTCTATTTTGATGATCCATGCACAAAGCGCGGGGTGTGAAAGCATTAGGGGCATGTCAGAATCCACTTTTGCTATTTTAGGACGGTAAAAATCTGCTTTGCGCCATGGCGCATGGTCTAACAGGCTTGAGCTTATTCTCTTAATGATTTATAGATGTGTTTTGAGAATAAACCAATCAGAGTCTCATCTTTCATTCCCTTTATGAGTTAGTTGTGCCGTGCCATGGTGCATTTGCTATTTACATGATGGACTTTGTAGGTGGAAAAACAGCATTTCACTAGTAAGAAAACAGATAAACAGAGCATCTACAGGCGAGAATGAGATATGAGCCTCCTCATTCTTTACTTTCACTTTCACTCTCGTGGATAGGGAAACGTGTTGTACTGTATGCACAGACATCCATTAGCCTATAAATAATTAATTTAGTTTGTTAAGCTCAAAAATTTTTATCAAACCTATTTCTAAATTCAGTTCTAAATTCCAGCAAACAAATAAATAAACAATAATAACAAAGAGTGTTAAAAAACTGAGTTATTTCCAAATACACATGCTTTGCCCCATATGGTCTAAAACCTGACAAGTGGACAAATCTAAGCTTGTTTTTAATAAAAAAAATATAAATATGCATATAATAAATAATTATGCTAATAATAACAACATTATACAAAAGCAAATTGTTATGAATTATCTGAAAAAGCACCAGCGTGGTGCAAAACTTCTGAACGACTCTTGCGAAAAGCTGAAACTAGCAAACAACAATTGCGTCGCGCCTTGTCGCATTTCGCCGGGTGTATGATAGGGCCCTCAAAGTGACATCTCTGTAATATATTTTAGAATTCTTCTACATTTAATAACTTGCAATGAGTCTTTTACAGTGATGTGGGGGACTTTTTTACCACTCATCTTTGCAGAATTGTTGTAATTAAGCCACATTGAAGGGTTTTTGAGCATTAACCGCCTTTTTAAGGTCATGCCACAACTTATCAATTGAATTCAGGTCAGAACTTTAACTAGGCCACTAAAAAGTTTTAGTTTTTGTTTTCTCAAGTCTTTCAGAAGTGGTCTTGAAGGTGTGCTCTGGATCATTGTCCTGCTGCAGAACCCAAGTTCACTTCAGCTTCCAGTCATTAAGAAATGGACAGACATTCCCCTTTAGAGATGTCACGTTATATGGCACCTAGTTTACCCCTTTTTCAAGATTTTATATTAATATTATGGTTCTTCTGAGTGTGCCACTTGAGGTTAAGTTCAAAACACAATTCAGATTTAGTTTCGACTTCCCGCCCAAATTAACAAGGAGGCGGAGCAGACAGGCAGACAGAGAGAAGCAACATGAGTAAGAGGAACAGAATTTAACTGTACATGTATGACTCTGACACATACCAAGCAGAGAGTACAAAATAACTTGTGTTTTTTTTTTTATAGTTTTACAGCCAACTATGTGCTACTTTAATATTACATGCTTGTACATAGAGACTATAAATCACGCACAGAGTTAATTTTGACTAAGTCATCGGATGCGCCGCTCAGAGCCGCAACACGGCACAACAGATGCACACATTCACATGTTATTTAAAATGAAACTATTCAGATGGCGCTCTGTGGCGCAGCAGAAAAATGAACAGTGTCCTGAGTCGTGGCTGGGGGCTGCGGACAGCCGCCGACTTGAGGTGCTGATGTGTGTACCCTGAAAGAAACCTATGTTTAGAGTTCTAAAATGCATGGCGCTGCATGGCTTCTGGTGTGCGACCTGCAGGCAAGTTCGTTATTTTTTTCCAATGGAGGGACGCCCACGTGAGGCAACACGCTCGCACTTTCCAGATGCATCTAGTTAAGATCACAGGGAGCTTCTGTGACTGCGAAAAATGCAAACAGCTGAAGTTTAGGGAAGATGTAATGAAAAGTACATGTTTGCAAACCCACCTAAACAATGGCTCCGATGAGAACGATCATGTGGTGAATGTTGATCTTGTGTTGAGCCCAATGAGCCTTACATCTAAAAATAGAGCAAGGGTGTTCCTTTGGTGACATCGCTTTGACTCACGCTGAAAATGGCGGACGACAAACTGAGGATATGGTCATGCACTCTTGTCAATCATTATTGGTGAGCAGGGGGACCACACTCCTACGTCAAGTTGCGGTCTATCTAAAAACCGCTCCAAATGGTCCACCGTTTTTATTTTGTGAAATTGAAATAAAAAAGGACTTTGTGTGTTTATATACCCCCAATATGACAGTCTTTACACTGTACCTACACAGATGTCTGTCCAAACAGCTTGAAAAGTAGATTTTTCACCATATGTGCCCTTTAAGCGTACCTCTCCATTAACAAGCAATCCTTTTACACTTTTTTTGTATAACTGATACAGAATATACACAGTATATATATAGCTTGTGACAACATTTTGTTACTTCTAGCTGTGATTTTCCATCATAATTGAATTCAGCACCTCACACAAGCAGAATCTTTTCAAGCACTTTAATTTAATTAGATTTTACTGAAGATTGATGAGATCCACGCTGAGATCTCTCTCAAGACTAAAAACACTTCACTGCCACCAAGCCAGAATTGTCAGTTAATTTTCATGTCAGTTTAAAGCATTCACACTCCAGCGATCTACATCAGTACATACGGAAATCAAGCTTTTGAACATCCTCATTCACTATTCAAATGCCTTCCCATAATTACCCTGTCTCGCATATAGTGAGTGAATAGTCTGTGGAAAGAGCAAAACTTAAAACATGGCTCTAATTGAGCTGACAGGCGGCATGTCTTGTGGACTTCAGAGATATAATACCGAAAGAAAAGAGTCCGTTCTTGCTCTCTGCGCTCTCTGTGGTTTGAGTCAGACTCTAATCAAGAGCTCATGATGTTTGTCTCATTCAGTGTGACAGATTTCCGCCTGCAGCTGCTGTTTCAGCGGGGGACGCCACTGCTAGAAATGTTAACAGACAACTCACTTAAGTTCAGATATTTTAAGGCTATCTTACTGTCTGTCATTCTTGAAAAGTCATAGGCCTTGCCTCCGCTTTCAGTCGGGCACATCTGCCTCATGACAGCTGATCAAACCCAGCTGCTGAGACAGCTTGATGTCTGTCATAAAGCAGTTTTACAAATATGGATTTAACTTTACTGGGTAGAGGCAACATCTTATTTTAGCGGTCAATTTAAAGGGATAGTTCATCCAAAGCTAAATATTCTGCCTACATTTAATCACTCTTGACTTGCATCAGTTTAAGGTTTTTTCTGTTGTACACAAAAGTAGATATTTTGAGGAATGTTGGAAGTCTGTAATCATTAATGTCTATACTATAGTATGAAAAACAAATTATATGGAAGTCAATGGTTACAGGTTTTCAGCGTTGTTCTGAATATTTTGTGTTGTGTTCAACTAGTCAAAAAAACTCAATCTGATTTGGAAGAAGTCAAGGGTCAGTAATTTATGACAGAGTTTTCAATTTTGAGTGAACTATCCCTTTAATGTTTCATTAAACTTGTTGAATCTCTGCAACTCACATAAATATTGTTTTGATCCTCTTTGACCCACATACATATTGTTGAATAATGCAATTAAAATATGCAGTTAAATTGGGCAAAACCTGCAATCAAAAATAAATCTTTTATTCACTCCCGCTACATATTTTAGTATTAAAAAGAAGGAAAGAAGTGTAGTTCAGTCCCTCTGTTAATTCTATTACACATCTCATGAGCTATTTCTTTAGGATATCAAATAGAAAAACCAAGGCAGGCTCATTAAAAATACATGCTTCAACCTACATTTCTATGAAACCACTAAAACACACTCATACACTACGGGCAATTTAGCCTACCCAATTCACCTGTACCGCATGTCTTTGGACTGTGGGGGGAAACTGGAGCACCTGGAGGAAACCCACGCAAACACAGGGAGAACATACAAGCTCTACACAGAAACACCAACTGACCCAGCCGAGGCTCGAACCAGCGACCTTCTTGCTGTGAGGCGACAGCACTTCCTACTGTGCCACTGCATCATTACGAACATGTTAGCCTTACCTATATATCTCCATATGGACTACTGGATTCGCTGGTCTAGGTCCGTGGGTCTCAAAGTGGGGGTCATGTGACAATAAGAGGGGGGGTGGGTTATTTGGTGATTTCTAAGAATTAAATTTATTTCATTAAACTATTAGAATTACCATATTTTATCCATAACCTCCTGAAGATAAAAAATATTAATAGTAGTTAATAGGTACATTAAAATAACAACATTAAAATAAAAAGCCAGCATTACGACTCCTGGGGTGATTGCATTAAATTAAAGACACAACAATTGCATCAGATGTAGCAGATTGATTTTATGCATCAGCTTGAATTTCAAATCAAATCACTTTTATTGTCCCATCATCAGCCGCACATGTGATATCATGAGTGATAAGCTTAGGTGCTGGCTCCAGAAATACAAAATACAGAAAGTGCAAATACAATGACAGTGCAAAATACAGACAATACAAAATACAAATAGTACAAAATACAGATGTTATACAGTGCAAATACAATGACAGTGCAAAATACAACAGCATACTCCCAAAAAAAAAAAAACAGGTCAATGTAAGTTAAACAGCGATATGTGCAATGAATAGGTGTCCACATAGTTGTTGTAGGCAGTATTCTTTCAAGTATGGATTGGTTAAAGTGCAGTGCATGCTACATATTGATGGTGTGCATTGAGGGGTATGGAAGAGTCTGTCTGTGTGGGGTGTTTTAAGTGTTCATCAGCCTGATAGTCTGAGGGATGAAGCTTTCCTTAGGCCTTTGCGAATGCTGCTGGTGCTATTGCCATACCAGGTAGTGATACAGCCAGACAGGATGCTCTCCACAGTGCAGGTGTAGAACGAGCGGAGGATGTGGGGGCTTATTCCAAACCTCCTGAGACGCCTGAAGAAGAAGAGACGTTGTTGTGCCTTCCTCAGCACTGCGTCTGTGTGAGCCGTCCTTGTCAAATCCCCAGCAATGTGTACTCCAAGAGACTTGAAAGTGCTGACTCTCTCCACTGGTGTCCCGTTGATGGTGATGAGGGTGTGTTCTCTCTTCTCTCTCTCTCTTTTCTCTCCACCAGCTCCTTGGTTTTGCTTACGTTGAGTAAGAGGTGGTTGTCCTCACACCACTGCGTCAGAGTGAGCACCTCCTCTCTGTAGGCCGTCTCATCATTATCGTGATTAGGCCCACCACCGTTGTGTCATCAACAAATTTAACGATGACGTTGGAGCTGTGTTTGGCTGTACAGTCAGTGTTTGGCTGTACAGGGAGTACACACATGACAGCTGACACCTTTACGGCATTCATGCACATTAAAAATAAATACAGGCCACAACTAAACATGGAGGATGGTCTCCGAGTGGCGAGATTACTTGGGCTTATTCTGCCATTACATGCAAAGTTTGTATATTCATAACCACCTCAGAGAATAGTCGGGGCTGCGAGTCACTGGCATTGTTATTTTGGGGGTCGCAAGCATAACATTTTGGGAACCCCTTGACATTTGAAATTATCTTATATAGCCAACTCAAAGCAAAAAAAACAGTAATTTCAAAATATGGACAGAATTTCAAGCAGCCTTGGGTTGGAGGGGGTCCGGTTCGAGGACCACATGATTTCTCTATTATTCGAAGACAATGTTGTTCTGTTGGCTTCATCGAACATGGACCTTCAGCATGCACTGGGGCGGTTTGCTGCTAAGTGTGACGCGGTTGGGATGAGAATCAGGACCTCCAAGGCCATGGTGCTCCACCAGAAAAAGGTAGTTTGCCATCTCCAGGTTGGAGAAAAATCCTTACCCCAGGTGGAGGAATTTAGGTATCTCTGGGTTTTGTTCACGAGTGAGGGAAAGATGGAACGTGAGATTGGAGGAGGACCCAGGACACGCTGGAGGGACTTTGTTTCTTGGCCTGCCTGGGAACACCTCGGGATCCCACCGGAGGTGCTGGAGAAAGTGTCTGGGGAGAGTCAAGTCTGGGGTTCTCTCCTAAGACTGCTGCCCCTGCGACCTGGCACCGGAAAAGGGGCAAAAAATGAATGAATGAATGAATGAATGAATTATAAAGACCTATATTCACGATTTCACAAAAATCAGCATGCCAAAAGTAAATTATTTTCTTTTCTTGGCGTAGCAAATTAACAAGCAACTTGACAAAATTTTGTCTTGCATAAAAAATAATACATTAAATAAAAAATGGGATTTAATTAACAAACAAGTAAAATAAATACATTTTATATGAAATGAAAAATAAAGTTCTAAGAACTGAAACCAGCTCAAATGTTCCTGAATAAAACGTATTACAGTAATGTACAAATAAGTATGTTCAAAAAAGCATTTTAAGAGGTCTTTTGAGTGTTCAGAATCACTGTACAAGCGAAAAGCTAAATACAGAAAGTATTACTTTAGAAAATGCGGCATAAATTCATCCCATTTGTCATTTTAAATCCTTTTGTTCACATGTAGGTGCTGCTTGTCAATCAGACAACGCTTCTATGTTTGCTCTTACTGTCAGTTGCGGGAAAAATGACCGGTGAAAAGGTTTATGATAAACCGCTGTGAGTTTAAAACTTTAACTATGGAGCTGTGGAGTCAGATTTGTCCAGTGTCAGATTTTGATCCAAGGAATACGGTTAGTTACTGAGTTGTTAACGCACAGCAATACCACACAAAGAAAGGACGGACTTTGATGGAATAAACCATGTGAGGAAAGCTCCATTATAGTGCACTGGACAAGTCTGAACAAGTTTGGCCCACGCATGTATGAGTCAGGCAGTTCTGTATAATTCCGTAATCTATTTAGTTTAAAGATATCAGCTCAATTTTGACATCTGACCGATTACATTAAAAATTGATCAGCTGATAAAGATATGACCGCCGATATATCGTGCATCCCTATATTGTACTAATACTTCTGTGAACACCTCAGTGAAAATACTTTTGTATATAATAAACCTCTATTAATTGTCTTAATTGATTTTTTTCCTGTCATTAGGCACTCACCTCCAACATATATCAGGCATAGAAAATATTGAAAAAAAAGTTGTATATCGTGCTAGTTTCCCAGCAATTTGTGATTTATTCTTGTGAGCACATGAAATGAATGCTTTATTCGCAAATGTTTTACACACACATTTTCATTTTGTGCTGTAAATTTTCAATTATGGTTGGAAAAAATAGCTACTGTGTCATAAAATACGGTAAACTTGTGTTCGTAAGTGATTTGCAGACATTTTTAGTACCTTGATTGTGACTTTGCCAGGTGTCTCTGAGGGTGTGATCTGTCTTCTCTGCTTGATATATGATAATACCCTGAATCTCATGTGGCTTTGCCGTTTCATTAGGTAGCTAATGGAGAGAGCTCTGCTTCTTCAGGGAGAGATGGTTAGCAGGGTCAGTGAAGCTGTGTTGAAACCTGCTGTAACAGTCTGTCTGTTGCAGCATCTGAAATAAGTGTCTCTCTCTTTTTTTATTCCTCTGTTTCAGGGAGAAGAAACAATGAGCTTCAAAGTAACCCTTCACAAGACGTCAGGGTCTCTCGGATTCAGTATCATTGGAGGAAGATTGTGTGAGGTATGTAAACGTCATACGTGTTAAATTAACTGCATGTAAATAATAATTAGCTTTCTCTTTATCCTGTGGAACATAAAATAAAATGTTTAGCTGCTTTTTATGTACAGTGAGATTCACTGGAGCCTACAGTTTTAAGAACCAAAAGTATCATACAAGTAGATGACCTGTAAGAAGTTCAATAGTTTTTTAAGAGGAGAAGACAAATCATCATTATTTAGTGATAATCTTTGCGAAACTTGCTTTGGCACAATGATGTTCATTTGCATTTATTGTTCAGAAGAAAACAACTCGGACATGTTCCGAAATGTACAGTTGAAGTCAGAATTATTAAACCCACTGAATTATTAGCCCCCCTGTTTATTTTTTTCCCAATTTCTTTTTAACAGAGAGAAGATTTTTTTTAAACATAATAGTTTTAATAACTGATTTCTAATAACTGGTTTATTTTATCTTTGCCATGATGACAGTACGTAATACTTTAAATGTTACATTGCATGTTTACATTAGTTATGGCTTATTGTAGCATATACATTTGTTTAAAACTCACCGGCCACTTTAATAGGTGCACCTTACTAGTACCGGGTTGGATCCCCTTTTGACTTCATAACTGCCTTATTGCTTTGTGGCATAGATTCAACAAGGTACTTGAAATATTCCTCACAAATTCTGGTCCATATTGACATGATAGCATCATGCAGTTCCTGCAGGTTTGTCGGCTGCACATCCATGATGTGAATCTCCCGTTCCACCACATCCCAAAGGTGGATTGAGTTCTGGTGACTGTGGAGGCCATTTGAGTACAGTGATAGCATCATGCAGTTCCTGCAGGTTTGTCGGCTGCACATCCATGATGCGAATCTCCCGTTCCACCACATCCCAAAGGTGGATTGAGTTCTGGTGACTGTGGAGGCCATTTGAGTACAGTGACAGCATCATGCAGTTCCTGCAGGTTTGTCGGCTGCACATCCATGATGCGAATCTCCCGTTCCACCACATCCCAAAGGTGGATTGAGTTCTGGTGACTGTGGAGGCCATTTGAGTACAGTGAACTCATTGTCATTTTCAAGAAACCAGTCTGACATGATTTTCACTTGTACACTGTGGTCATAAAGCGAAGGACATGGTCAGCTACAATACTCAGGTAGGCTGTGGTGTTGACACAATACTCAATTGGTACTAATGGGCCCAAATGCTGCCAAGAAAATAACCCCACATTGTTGATATGAGGCAGGATGGATCCATGCTTTCATGTTGTTGATGCCAACTTCTGACCCTACCATTCGAATGTCGCAGCAGAAATTGGGACTCATCAGACCAGGCAATGTTTTTTCAATCTACTATTGTCCAATTTTGGTGAGGCTGTGTGAATTGTAGCCTCAGTTTCCTATTCTTAGCTGACAGGAGTGGCACCCAGGGTGGTCTTCTGCTGCTGTAGCCCATCTGCCTCAAGGTTGGATGGTTGTGCATTCATAGATGCTCTTCTGCATGCCTCGGTTGTAACGAGTGGTTATTTGAGTTACTGTTGCATTTCTATCAGTTCAAACCAGTCTGGCCATTCTCCTCTGACCTCTGGATTTTCTAATTTTCTGACCATTCTCTGTAAACCCTTGAGATGGCTGTGCGTAAAAATTAGAGTAGATCAGCAGTTTCTGAAATACTCAGACAAGCCCGTCTGGTACCAACATCCATGCTACATTCAAAGTCACTTAAATCATATTTCTTCCCTATTCTGATGCTCAGTTTGAACAGCAGCAGATAGTCTTGACCATTTCTACATGCCGAAATGCATTGAGTTGCTGCCATGTAATTGGCTGATTACAAATTTGCGTTAACAAGCAGCTGGACAGGTGTACCTAATAAAGTGGCCGTTGAGTGTATATCATTTCAGTTTAAAGAAAAAAATAGATGGAAAGTACCTTAAATACACATATGATTCTGTAATAAGTCCCATAAACGTTTCTTTTACTCTAAAAACAGCACTCAGTAGGTGTTTTTTGTAAATAATGGTGAAAATGTATGATAGCCAGAAATGAATCAAACCCGTCAGGACACATTCTAACGTACAGACAAAAAAAAAACAGTAGGTTAGTTGGCCACAGAAGACATTTGTCCCGTCATTTCTACTGTACCTCCATTGTACGAAAGCAAAACAAAAATCAGCAAGCGGGCCACATGTAAAAAGATAATTGCAGATTGCACAGTTTGAGCTCCACACATTTCTGTCGAGTACACTGTGTGAAATGTGAGCGTGGGTGCTATTAGCTTCTCACATAGACTGTGTCCAAATGGAGAGGAGAGAGCAAGCTGTGGCTTTGGCTTTCACTCACTTCACATTCTCCTCTATAATCTAGCGAGAATCACCACAGGCTGTTTACCACCTGTTCTGTCTTCACGGACAGCCATGGTTAACCAGGTTTACGCTTGCTCGACATACATTTATGCACAGAGAGTTTGCCCCTGAGTGACGCTCAACTGGATTCAGAATTGAGGATGCTTTGGACTTTTTTTGTTGTTGTTATTTTTTTATATAGAAGGCTCTAATTTTGGTTTTCATAACTGTGCCAGACTTACAATGGCTGAGAGAGCTCAAACACGATGCAAGATAATAGAAAAACACAATAAAATTGAAAAAACATAATCATTTAGACAATTTACATGCACTAAACACAAATGCTCACAACACATGCAGAGAAACATCCTACAAATAAAGTAAATCACAATAAAAAAATATGGAGGGACCACAAAAGTGACAAACCCAGTTGCTTCCTGTTCAGAGTTAGCATGTCACGGTTGTGGGCTTGTGCACTTGTCTGATTGTTTGTTTTGGTTCCCCTGTGCACTTGTTATTCTGTTGTTATGGTCACGTGTTTGGCAAGCATCAGCTGTTCTGATCACCTGGCCAGCTGTGGCTCATTATTGCGACAGTGGCGCCCCCAAAAAAATTTCTTAGGGGTGGCCAGAAGAAGCCACATCAAATCTTGGGGTGCCACACAAAAAAATAATGAATTCAGTATAATGTTATATTTTTGTTTCTGGTAAATCTAATAATTTGGTTTTAATTAATTTAATTAATTACTCTTATAATATAGCATTTTTTTCCTTGAAATAGTTTACCAAGTACATGTGCAAACCAAATAAAAATCAATATTTAGTTTAAAAACACTTTTCATACATGTATAAATAACTTTTCAGTTATTTTTCACATACTTTTACTCTACAGCACACAGTCTATGCCATGTCTAAAATTTATGAAGATGAATGAATTAATTAATAAAACAAATGAACAAACTGAACAAGAGGCATTACTATAAACACACACACACTCACTATACAGACCCTAATAATATCATTTATCCATATTACTTTTTGAACCACAATATTATTGATATAGCTTCTTCTATTGATGTACTTAAGGTAAATATTAAATTGCCATTGCTGTCTATTGAACGCGATCAACGGCGATCGGTGAGGCCCGCAGTAGCCGTTCTAGTTTAAATGACACCCTGGGCGACCCACCCCATACACCCCCCACTCCCCTTCAATTGTTAGATTTATTTTTCAATAAATATAACAATTTATTTATATTTATTCTAAATAAATACAATTATTATTAATATTTTTATACAACTATTCTAAATAAATACCAGAAACCAATCCTAAATGTTACTGGAAAACAATGTAACAACTGGAGTGATATGTCAAGATCACTTAAGAAATGTTTTGCATGAATATTAGTTATGACAATTCTATAGTATACAAAAAAAATATGTTTTATTGAATTATCTGTGGTCTTAGACCTGATTCCTGGCCGAGAATTAATGTTATGAAGGCTTACCTCCCTGACTCATTATTCTTCATTTCTGCTTAGTGAAAGTATTATCATCAACAAATTATATCAACTTTACTTAGTCAACTTGCAAAACTCGCTGAATGCCGACACCTCTGCACAAAAGGCTGTTACTCTGGTTTCACGGCGCATGAGCGGCACGTATTTTATCGGCGCGCATGCAAACAACTGGTATTCACACAGGAGTGCGTGAGGTGCACAGGAATGGTTTTCTGCACCCATGCGTCAGTTTGCTTTCACCCGCCAACTATGAACACCCCCTAACGTCTTTATTTTGGGATTGCCACTAAGTTAATACACTTGCATAAAGTAAATCGTTTCCCAATGCTTTTACTAGGGGATGGGTTTTTTTACCGTCTATGCATGTCGCCCCCAGCTGCCCCTCTGGGCGATCGCCCATATTGCCCATGCCTAAATCTGCCATTGAAGGAGGGGGAGGAGCAGTGAATCAGCTTTGTTAGTGCCACCAATAATTTAGTGGCTGCATTTATTTATTTTATTTATTGAAATATTGGGAATTTACATAAGTGCATTCAAAATTAATAATATCAACAGCAAAGTCATATTAGGGTAGCCTTGGGTGCCCCTATCTGGGCGATGGCCATATGTGATCGTGACAATATTTTACAAATGCTCTTTTTGTAATTGCAGTTAAAATTTAAACTTGTTTTGTTTTGGAACTCTGTTCCAATTTAGTTTTGTTTTGAAGGGTAATATTTGAATTATCCTTTTTGTCTTTTCAAGTAAACTTTGCCTTTCTTTGCATTGTTTTACGAATGGCTGTACAAGCTAAAATTAAAAAAGTTCTTTGACTTAGTTTAAGTTTTTATTGTGTAACAAGCTAATTTGCTTACATTTCAATTCAACAAATATATTTTTGATTGGAAATTCTATATTATTTGATGGATACTTTATTTAATTTTGTCCTTCCTGTAAAATGTTTTGTTCTGTTTTGTTTTTTGAAATCGAAAGTAAAGCAGGACTGTAGCAATTATCTTCATATTGGCCAAGGTCTTTCACTTTAGAAATTAAATCAATCAGAATGATGGACAGGGTGGCTGATGATGTTATTGTTTTTAATGCGATTTAGAGGAAATGGGGTGGAGATTGACATTGTGGCTCCCGAAATATTTTGATTATATCCAAACAAGGAAAATAGATAGTGTTTGTTTAACAGCACAAACCAGAACAAATCGTGCACAAATGACCTGTGCTGATTTGGAGAGATTTGAGCAACATGGGGTGGAAAATGATGTCACATGGTCACCAAAATAATGCTTAATATCTCAGCCTTCAAACCAGCACAAACATTTACAAATATTACAAACAAAGCACAAAAGAATGACATAGTTTTAGGGATTACTTATTTTTATAGGGAGCCAACTTCACGAGAAGGTTTGCAAACATGCAAGGAAATTTACATCAATAAACCTCCGGCCTCATGGCAATTTAGTTAAATTAAAAAATCTAAATCGGTCTGATCCCTTTATTTGTTTTTCTGTTTTTGATCTGAACGCATGATCAGAAAATTAGATAAAGAGTCATTATTCATGTTTTCTTTCTGTTTCAGAAAACAAATAATAAAAAAAACAAGTTGTTTATTTGCTTTTGAATTTTTGCTTTGAATTTTAAAAATTTACCTAACGAATGATACACGGATTTTAGTTAATATATTTTATAAATATGTTTATTTGTTTATAACATGTATACATAGTTATTGTGCCATTGCAGACGCTTACCTTAAAACTGTACATTCATCAATACATGATTTTACAGTTTGTGTTTTTAGCATTTTAGCTTAGATACATTTAAGGAAGAATCTGAAAAATCTATAATTACTTCACTGATCTAATATTCAACACTTGCTTCTATCCAAGGAACTGGATGAGCATGGAGACTTCAGTGACGGGATCTATATATCCAAAATAGTGGAAAACGGAGCAGCGGACAAAGCTGGACTGTGTGTTCATGACCGGATCACTAAGGTTTGCAAAGTTTCATTTCTTAGACGGGACGAAGGCCAAAAATGCAGAATCAGAATCAAAACTCCACACTATGGAGGAGAAAGTTCACCAAAGACAATCACTAGACTTATGAAAGCTGAAGGAGACAGACATCATACTGCTAGCCTGAGCTCCTCAACTGGTGCCAATGTTTTCACAGTCTGTCTGTTAGATTTGTCAGATCTACTCAGACTAACAATGTTGGCGCCGTCGCAGGTTGATTTCACACTGGGCAGGCTTCTTTAAAAAAGGGCATTAGTCTGTTCATCCAGCAGTTATTCATCCCTAACAGGAACAAAATGTTTCATCCAACAATAGAGAATGATATAAAATATGAGATTTGAGTGTATTACGGGTGTAGATTTGGATCTAAGTGTAAAAACATTTAGATTGTCATAAATTTTGCACAGTGATGGTGACACGAATCTAAACTCTAAACAAAATCATGTCAAAAAGAATGAATGCATTGTACAAACATGGAGAAAATAACAGGTACTAGGTGTTTTTACTTCACTCATTTACTTAAGTACTTAAGTATTTTTATTTTAGGAACCTTTTACTTTTATTTCACTACATTCCAAAACAAATTATTGTACTTTTTATTCTGGTAAATATCCGGAATGAAGCTGAGAAAAGTTTTTATGAAGGGGAGAAACTGGAGAGACTAGATAGTGGTGTTTCATTTGGTGAACAAGATTCATTTTATCAGTGAACCTGTTAAATCAGGTTCACAAATTGCACTAAACAATTCATTTGTAAATTAACATCTGACATCGTTCATGAGTAAACAACCCACTGATTCATATGATCCATTTAGAGCGAGTCTGCAGTCGGTGATTCACTGATTCAAAGGAGTTGAGTGTGAGTTTCCAGTAAACGATTCCCTGATTCAAATTATCCATTCAGAGTGAGTCTACAGTCAGTTATTCACTGATTCAATTGAAGCATTCAGGGTGAGTTACCAGTAAACGATTCACTGATTCAAAAGATCCATTTAGAGTGAGTCTCCAGTAAATGAGTCAATCATTCAAATGATCTGTTCAGAGTGAGTCTCCATAAACAATACCCTTATATTACAAATTGATCTGAATGGGGTATATTCTGTTAATGTGACTTCTATGTGTGAATGATCTGTACAGAGGGAGTCTCTATTAAATGATTCACTAATTCAGAATCATCCATTTTGAGTGAGTCTACATTTAAGGATTCACTGATATTACAAACTGATTTGAATGGGGTTTAGCATGTGAATGTGGCTTTCGGGTGTGAATGATCCATCCAGAGTGAATCTCTAGTAAATAATTCACTGATTCAAATTATCTGTTCAGAGTAACCGTACGTTCACACCGAAAGCGGTGAGAGCGTCAAATCTCGCTACATGGATCTCGTATTTAAAGGAGCCGTTGCAGCATATCAGTTACATTCCAGCATAAAACATGTTTCTAGCGTGAAAATGTTGCGCACTTCTTATCAAACTCAAATAACAATGGAAGATCAAGTTGCGTATGTTGTGGCTTTGCTCTATTTATCCAATATGTGTCCATATGTCTGAAATATTCTGAAAAAGCTATACTGTTTTGTACTGTCACGTCGCGTGAGATTCCCCCTTTTTTAAGATAAATATATATATAACATTAATGCACATCAGTAACTCGCCAGTAACTTATTTAATGCATGTTCCTGTAAGAAAACATTGTAAATAATTGGAAATCCAGTGACCGCAATCATCAAACCCTTGGGAACAACTGTGGTCGGAACCAAAGAACTCCTATCAAGCGGTGGACGTCTTCATTCTGATTGCCGAACCACGTCATAGCTCATTACTATAAAGTTGACTTGATTTCAACTCCCTTTGACGCCCACACTGGCGAAGACGCACCGTGCTGCTCCTCGCCGCTTAACGCTGCCGGCTCTCATTAAAAATTAATGACTTCCGGCTACTTTGACGCTCTCGCCGCTTTCGGTGTGAACGTACGGAAAGGGTGCTTTTACATCTGTAGTTCAGTTAATTTGGTCTGGACCAAGGGCAATAAATGGTACATTGTTACAAAATGTCGCTTTTTACTATGGAGGGACGACTGCGCTGGCTGATTGTATCCCTGCTTTATACAAACTATACATTTCAAGAATGAATCGCAGCCATGGCTGGAAAACAGTGTTTTAATGCATCGCACGTCACTTCAGTAGGAGGCATGAATTCATTTAACTAAACTGCGACATGGTCATCTTGCGGAAATATTACCAACGATCCATCGGGTAATGTTTTTCCCTCTCTGTTGGTAAAGCGCTGTCAACAAAAATTTTTCCTCAATATCCAATAATGCAAAGTGTATCGGCCTATGGCAGCTGGATTAGTCCAAAAGGCACAGTACTTTTTGCGGTTGGGTCTGTTTTTGTTCGGATCATATTCTCACCACAAACGAACCGCTCCAGGGTTCGTTTAAAAGCATTCCGAGACCACCTCTTCAAGCAGGTCTCGGTATACATTTTTGGTCTGCTTTTGGTGTGCACTCAAGTACGATTGCTGCATTCACACCTGCCCAAACGAACCGCACCGAGAGGGAAAACAAACTAGTGCAATTCAATCGAACTAAATAAGGCAGGTGTGAAAGCACCCTAAGGGCCTACTCACACTATGCCATCCGTACCGTGCCCAGGCCCGTTTCCCGGATCGTTTGAGAAGTGTGAGTGCGCTGAATCGGGCTCAAGCACGGTTCACTTGGCCGGCCCTGGCCCGGTTGGAAGAGGTGTGCCTGAGCGCGGATCACTTGGGCCGAGTCAAAACTCATTTAGAGATATCTGCAAATATTTTTCAATGGAAGTCAATGGAGGAATATGACTAGTCATAAGATATTTGCAGATATCTCCAATCTGATTTCGTACTAGTACAATTGCAATTGCAGATATCTCTAATTGTTATTCTGACTAGTCGAATTATAAATATGACTAGTCAAAATATAATTAGAGATATCTCTAAATATATTTATGGAGTCAGAACAAAGATTTAAATGCTAAAAAGGCTTGCCATAGAGAGCGCTTCTAAACAGCGCAGCAGCGATGACGTAAGCGTGCCGAGGCCCGATATGGTGTGAGCGCGGGCCGTCGGGGGAGACGGGAGGGGGGACAAGCGTGCTTTGGCCCGGTTCGAGGCAACTGTACCTAGTGTGAGTACGGTCTAAGTCTCCAGTAAGTAGGTGCGAACCATGTCTGCAGCCAGTGATCAAAGAGATTAGCCGAGCACAGGCCAGGCAGAGTTGAAAACGGAGCCATCAAGCCGGATAGCTTGTATTGTACTATCTTCTTGATGATCGCCACTGCTTCGCCTATTCAACTATTTACTGATTTAAATAATCCATTCAGAGTGAGTCTCCAGTAAATGATTCACTGATTCAAATGACCCATTCAGAGTCTCAATTCAAGGATTCACTGATATTACAAACTGATCTGAATGGTGTTCAACGTGTGAATGGGGTTTTACATATTTTGTGGAAGTAGCTGATTGGTTGGTATTTTGATTATTCCGATATTTTGATTGGTAGCCATTATGTTATGCAGAGTCATAACAAGTAGCTAGTTAGAATGTAACCCCGCCGGTCCTATATGCCTCTCGTCATTAATTACACAATGCAGAGCAAAAGAGAGTTCGGTTACATTAGAACATATACAAGTATGACATCTGAAAGCATCATTTTGTCGCTGAATGTCTAGGAAAGAGCTCATGTTTTCATGGAGTGTCCTCTTAAACAGGCAGAGCAGAGTATGATAGTTTCTTTCTTGACTGGTTTTGTCTCCTGTGAGCTCTTTGCTGTCTGTCTGACGTGATGAACATAACAATGGTAGCAGCGCCTTTTGAAATCTGTGCATCACACTCCATTTGCTCCCCAAAGAGCGCATGATACAACCGCTCGATTCAGAGAGGAAGACACATGCAGCTTTTGTGGAGCTCTTAGATCCCCTTTGCAAGCAGAGAAGGTACAAATGGTCATTTAAAACCCATATGCTGCAGTTTTGTCCATTATTCAGGTTTTCTGAAGTCTTCAAATTGGATTGTCACTTACTAATGACATGAATTTCATTCTGTTTTTCATACAAAGCTACTGTCTGAGATATCAAATACTTATATATGGTATTATATACACTATCAATGTCAAATTGATATGACAAATTGATAGTGACTTTTTATGGTGTTTTTGATAGTTATTTATGTATCATGATAAATGCATGTTGTGTATTCATGGATATATTAGCAGTTAGATTAATACAGGGATAAGTATCATACAATATTTTATATTATACTTAGTATATTTATATCAAATATAATAGTTTATGCAATATTTAATAAAATGTATTTATTTCTATAAATTATTACAATTGTATTTGTAAATTTTCAATTTATAGTTTTTATATTTTAAAAACTTTTACATTTTTTTTTATAATTTTATATGATTCATTTACATAGATGTTTTTATTTATCTGTTTATTTATTGAATTAAATATATATATATATATAAAGGGTTCACATGCAAAAACCTCTAAGTGCCATCTGAATGAGGATTTTCCTCAAGCTCCTATATCCTGATTCCGTAATTTCATTTTTAGACAGGGGCAGATTTTTCATGATTTTTGGGTTCTTAGCAATTCCAGCCATGAGGCCCAAAAATTCTAAAATGCACCTTTTGTACTTAATTTTATTATTATTATTATTATTTTGCAGTTTTTTTCTTATATCATTCGATCTCCTTTTCTGCATTTTATCTTAGTGCAAAATGATAATAACATGTAAAGCATCTCGTAAATTGATTTGTTTTCTTAAATAGAATTCACAACTAAAAATAATAAATAAACAATTTCATTTTGAAAACTAAATTTAACTGCAGGGTTGGTGAATGATTAAAGGTGGGGGACACATTTGCACAGGTGAAATAATTACATTCAATTACGTAAAATTTATGCTATCATTTATATGTCCAGGTATTTATTTG